AGAAGAATCAGAGAGAAACACAATGAGAGTTAGAGTGAGAGTTGAGTTGAGTAGAGAAGTTTTTTTTTTCTCCTCCTCCTTGTTTTGTTGTTTGTATTGTTTCTAAGCTTGATTAATTCAAACCAGTAGCTCCGCGGGTAGACAAGTTGTCGAACCACGTAAATTGATACGTGTTTGAATGTTTGACTGCACTGATAACTGGTATCAGAACTTGTTCTTGAAAAAGAGAGTGTTTGATCCAAACTCAAAAATCAAAATTCTCAAAACGTGTTTTTGAACATACCATCATGAAGAGGAAGACGAGAGGAATCCACTGGTGAAAACCCAACGAAGAACCGATGTCCTGCATGCCAGTACACGCCTGCACGCGCTAACGTCTGCACTGCCCACGCACGCCGACGCGCCTCACGCTCTCCACGTCAATAGCCATACAAGCAATTCTGCACAGTCATCAACCACGTAACCAGCCACCTCACCTGACATGTCGTCACAGCCACGTCAGCCAGAAATCCAAGTGGATCTGCCACGCCATAATTATAGGACTCGCATATCTTACGTGGCAGACACGCCAGCATATCCATATCAGCATTCTGGGTTTTGATCCAGTGTGGCGCAACGACTATTCCTCCTGACACGTGGCTTCATTTGCAGCATCCAGTGATCCAAAAGTTTAATTGATAAAATCTGAGCCATCCAAAGTCCGATTTGGGTGATCTTAGTGTCATTTCCAAAAACTTTTGCCATTCCAGACACATCTGTAAGGTTAAATTTTGCAAATTTGAATCCAAGAAATATTAAAAATGGCAGATGAAATAAAGGCTGCTGGAATTGAAAAATTTGATGGAACAGATTTTGGATACTGGAAAATACAAATTGAAGATTATCTATATGGGAAGAAACTTCATCTTCCTCTATTAGGGAGCAAACCAAAAAACATGTCAGAAGAAGATTGACAAATTCTTGATAGACAGGTTTTGGGCATTATCCGGCTATCATTTTCAAGAAGAGTTGCTCATAATGTTACAAAAGAGAAATCCACAGTAAGATTGATGGAAGCCTTGTCTGGGATATATGAAAAACCCTCAGCAAATAACAAAGTGCACTTGATGAATAAGTTGTTCAACCTGAAGATGACATAAAGCACCTCTGTTACACAATATCTCAATAATTTCAACACTATCATAAATTAATTATCATCTGTTGAGATTGAGTTTGATGATGAGATCCATGCACTCATTTTGCTAACTTCACTTCCAAGTAGTTGGGAAGGTATGAGAACAACCATAAACAAC